TGGATGACTGCACTAATGCCCCAGCCTGTCTAATTATTTCAGGGAGGTCCATCTTCCAAGCCTGGAAAACTGGATTTCATCATCAGAAGAGAGAAAGAGTAGTGAAAAATGTTTATAGTTAATCACTATGAACTATAAACACTGTGTTGTATGCTTGGCTTTTACTGGCTGCGATGAACTGTCAGAGGTGCTCCGGCGTTCTCAACAACAGACTTATCAATCCTTTCAGACTGACCTTTCTGAAAATACATTGTCTGCAGAGTGAAAGAGCATCCCTTGAGATTTCACCAGAAAAGAAAGTAGAATGATCTGAGTTATGACGTTGCTTGTAGTTTAAAATTTAGTGACTTTGCTTTCTGCTGTCCCTAATTGCTTTGGTATTTGCCGAAAACCTTGCATGTGTAATAAAAATATAAGAAAACCAAGAAATGCAGAACTTCGTTTTTCAGAAAGAAAAACAAACTCATTTGTCTTTCCTTTTTGTAAACAAAGGAAGGGACCTACCCTTAGATGCGTATAAAACACTTTGATGAAACCCTGTGGATGAAAGTTACCTGAAATACTACATAGTAGTGAGTGCATCGTGAACCTTACTGCCCACAGGAAAACCACAAAAAGGCCCCGCTGGGATTCGAACCCAGGATCTCCTGTTTACTAGACAGGCGCTTTAACCAGCTAAGCCACGGAGCCCGCATGCTTGATGGGGTTCAAATCGATAAGGAAAAGGAATGATCTTTGCTTTATTGTGTCTAGTGTATTGAGTTCTGCTAATGAAGAGCAGTCATCTGCCTCTCATCCTACTGAGGGCAAAGCACCAGCTGGGCGTCGGGGGAAGAGGGTTGAGGGCTCACAGGAGCACACTCCTAGTGTCGTGCAATTGTTTACACCAGAGCACTCCTACCACCAAGAACCGGTCTCCGAGGGAGCAAGCTAATTTAAGATTCCAGTCATTCCTTAACCCATTTCTTCCTGTAAAATTAGTTTTCACTAGTTTATAAGCTTCTTGCTTGTCAAATTAACAATGGAATTCCATGGTCGTGCCTTAAAAATGCTAGACTTTTATAATTAACACCCTAATCTTGGAAAAAGATAAAGATCTCCCCCCTGCAACTATACATAGATATAAGCTGTGCCCAAACGATCTGATCTTAAGGTGTCAAATTGAGAGCATTCAAGAGAATTTCTCTATGGTCATGTGTGTTCGTACCTGTTCCCACCTTGTTTCTCTGTTATGAATCTGTTATTGGGAGTACAATTTGAACGAGTAGGTTTATTAAAACTCTGAACAGTATGAAGTGTTCTCGTGGCTGTGAAAATAACTTCCCAAGTGCGCTCTGTAATTATGACTGGCTGGTTTGAGATCTGTTGTCCTGGTGATTGTGCCAAAACCAACACATCAGTATTTCTAAACTGTATCAGCATCTGAAGATTTTCTGTCAGCCAACAAGATAGCCACAGGCACTTCCCTCTGCCTACAATAAAAGCCATGACTCTCCCCACATGGTTTTGTGTCCTTGGGTTAGAATGAATGCCTGGTTACTCAAACACCGGTCTAGGTAGTGTTCTCAAAGTGGCTTTTACAATATTTTGTAAATTTTCAATCAGTTAACTATAAATAAAGGTCATCATCCTGAGTAATGCAGGTGGGCATAATCAAATAAGACTTTAAGAAAACAAAACCAAACAGAGACAAAAACAAAACAAAACAAAACAAAAAACCAAGCTTTTCTGAGGACAAAGAAACTCTATTTCAAGACTACCACATCAGCTAGGTTGGCCAGCTCTACAAGAGTCAGGCCTGCCAATCCATAAGCTGCCAATTCCTACAAATATTTACTCTCTCTCTCCATATATAAATACATATAAAGTCTCTTACTAGAATATCTTCTTCTGGACTCTTTCTCTGACGGGTGAAATTACCAGAGAAAACACTGAATGCTGGAACTATTAAAAAAAAAAAAAAAAAAAAAAAAAAGGTACATGCAAGAGAAAGATTGTCTAAACAAGGACAAGGTGAAACTTACGGGGCTTTGGGGTGCTGGAGTCCCTCTCTGGAGGTGGTTTCTAGGTTCCTTCTGACTAGAACAAAGTATTGGTCGAAACAAGCACAAGCTGTAACAATGTTTTATTAAAGCTAGGGAAAAAAACAGGCTCTGCAGAGCAAGTTTGAACCAAATAAAAGGAGGAAAAGAAGTATACCCTACAGCATGAAGGTGGGCCACCATGCAAAAGAGACCACAATGGCAAAAACTCAGTGTGGTCTGTCTTTTTTATATCACCCACTCCTCAGGGTGACGTCAAGTCTAGGCCATCCTACCTAAAACTTGCTCTCAAGTTCACGCGAGAAGTCCACATACACGGCTGTGGAAACTGTCCTGTGCATGTGTCCTGGGATTTTGTAATTAACAGGTCACACCCACTAGTGCAGCCAGTTTTGTCACTCTCTAGTCTCCAGCTCAAAAGATACCTTGTAATAGGGCTGACAAATTTGAAGCAGGTAAGAAATGCATTCACAATCTGCAAAACAAAGGGCTATCCTTACTAACTATTGCTAAGGAGAGCCAGTGTGGACAGAGTCTCCAGCTAGCTGAGTTAAAGCCTTTGTGGAGATATGGGGTGGAACCTGAGACTTCAGAGATGCCCTAGGATCTGGCTTCCAGGTCCTTAACACAAGATGAGGTTAAATAGGACCAAAAGGTTCCCCAGTTTGTTTCCTTTCTGAAAATCTGGGCAAAACGTTCATGCTTCCAGACTCCTGGCTCTTCTTGTTTTTTTGTTTTTTTCCCTTTTTTCATTTTCTTTTCTTAATGGGAATCTGTGACATTGGATGGGGAAATAAATCTTTATTTTCACTAATTTATTACTAAAATTTTGTATTTTCTTCCATTATGAGCACAGGCAACAAACCACAGTGGTATTTCAGCCTTCATTAGTATCATTACTAGAAATCACAAATATTTTCACATCAAAATATAGTGGTTGCAGATTTCTTACAATGTCATTTGTATTTATTACTGCTTTGAAATTACAGTATTTTTTTAAAAACAGTATTTATTAGACTTTCCCCACCCGGGCTGGATATTATCATCTAGTGCATTAATAAAGGAGCACACACAAAAAGGAGCACAGACATACTATAATTTTAAAATATCTTAAAGTATTTTAATATAATTTGCTTTCTTTTGAAATCTTTAATATTAGTCTTTTTTTTTTTGTATATTTAAAGTATTATTCTGAGATGGAGTCCAACATTACCTAAATGCGTTAGAAATCCTTGGTACAAAAGCTAGGAATAAGAATAGGAATAATAATTTAGGAATAAGCTCTAATTTTTCTATATGTAAGGAGGAATTCATAACTAGGTCTACCTTAGTGCTTCTGCACAAAGAGCAGAAACAGTGTATTTTTTGTAAGGACTGTTTAAACAGTATGACGTAAAAATATGTTTTTCTAATCTCAGCATATACATCCTCAGTATCAGGCAATAGCCCTCAGTTCATTTAGAATGCGCACCAGGCACTGGGGGGTGACTCCTGAGAAATTCCTTCTCAAGCCACACATACGACACTTGTTTGCTTTGAGAGCGTTCATGAATGTGCAGGAGTTGACACTGGTGCTTTTAAATATGTCAGATTCTGAGATGTCCTACGGTAGAAGCAACATGGAGTCAGTGCCTAGCATAGTCTAGCTTAGTAAATATTTGGAAAAGAAAAATTTTAAGAACTACAGAGAGATAAGACAAAAGTCAGATCATGCCACGCTACGACGACTTCCAATATCCTAAGCTCTTTCTCTATCTTATTATTTCTTCCTCCAAGCCTTATCAGTTATTTATTTAGTGCTATAGTATCGGTCTCAAAACTGTCCCTGTTTTCTTGAGGCGAGGGTCGCATGTTTTCTACATGGTTTCATCTCTAGGGCAGCGGTACCGGCTGCAAGACTGGCTGCATGTATGGAAAGGTGAACTGGGGCAGGCTTTCCTTTCGTAGCCTTTTCTGGCTGAGCAGAAATCGCAGACCCAGAAAGCAAAGAGCACCGGACAGGCGTAGCCTTCACCGCCGCGCAGTGCGCGCACCTTAAGCCCTGGCCAGGCGCGCACGCACAACTTGTAGCTCCAGACCCGGACCTTTTAGAAAGGAACCGGAACAGGGCTACTCCTTCAAGAAGGGGCCCTGCGGCGGGGCGACACGTGCGTGGGGCCAGTGGCGCAATGGATAACGCGTCTGACTACGGATCAGAAGATTCCAGGTTCGACTCCTGGCTGGCTCGGTGTGCGTGTGTTTGTTTTGCTTATTTCCTTTTCTGACCCCACGGGTGCTCAGTGGAATAGGAAAATTGATGTAAAGTCAAATTTGTCCCGAGTCTTGGCCGCAAGAGTGTAACGTTTCTGACGGCAGCTGGAACCATCACTGATTTGCAAACCGAATTCCGCCCGCGGCCGTGAGTCGGCGCCAACTAGAGAGCGGTTGGAGAGACGCGGTCCCCGGGCTGCACCCACTCTGTTCCGACAAAACCGTTTGAAGTAAACAATGAAACCAAGGAGAAGAAAGACATTCAAATAGGGATGTTCAAAGAAGCAATTATAGTGGTCATTGGGAAAGATTATCAAGTCTTTTTTTCTGCTCTCTCCCATTCGGCTACTTGTGGGAAAATTCCACAAAAGTGGCCTCAGGTCTGCACGCAGCGAGCGCAAATTTTGACTCTGTCCTTGGCTTCCGCCGGCTGAAGAACCGGTGCCAAGACGCATGCGCATATCGGGTACCCGGCGCTCCCTTATCCCCACCTCCCGACAGAGGGCGCTTCTAGCCGGGAGAACTAAGAGGCGGGAAGCACATTTCCTCATCGGTTTCCGTAGTGTAGTGGTTATCACGTTCGCCTCACACGCGAAAGGTCCCCGGTTCGAAACCGGGCGGAAACAACTTTTTTTTTTTTTTCCCCCCCAGTACGGAATTTTCCGAAAACGTAAATTTTAAAAAAGTCTGCACCCTACAGAAGCAGCAGGTTCTCCTCTTTTCCTCTACTGCTGCCAGCTCGAGCTGCGGAGCTCTGGGCGCTGTTCCGGTTGGGCCCGGGTCCGGCGCGGGCGGCCGCAGCCCCGGAAGCGCATCCTCGTTCCCTTCCTGTTCCCGCGGCGCCGGCTCTGCCGCCTTTGCCGTCCCGGGCGCAGCCGGCGGGGGAGCGGTGGACTCAGGTGGGCGCCGCCGGGCCGGGCCGGGCTGGGCTGGGCTGGGCCGGGCGGCCGGGGAAGGCAGCGAGGGCCGAGCGGCGGTGGCGGCGGAGACCTGGCCGACCCCTGTCCCCCTGCAGCCCTCCGGGACACACCGGGCCTCGCCGGCCCTCGGCCCCCCGCGTCCGGAAGGAGCATCGGTGCCCAGGGAGAAGCGAACCCCCCGGCGCCCCGTCTGGAGGAAAGTCCCGCGGCGGCTCACGTCGGACCTCTCCCTCACATTCGCACCCGGCCCGCGTCCGCGTCCGCCGATCTGCCGGGCTCTTCCCGAGGAAAGAAGGCTTGTCCTATCTCCTGCGGCCACAGGCGCACCCTCGGATCTCCTCTTTAAATGTTTTAGCGCTTAGGTCCCCTTAGATGACTGACGGGAATGTGATGTCTTTACCATCATAAGAAAAGGGCACTCTTTATCCAAAGAGCTGTTTGCTTTGTATCATTTTAAACGGGGTGCTTAGAGAACCATTGCCTTTCGCAACCCTGTTACTCCGTCAGTTTCATACTTTCTGTGGAAAACCCGTGAGTTCATCTTCATGCTGGTTCTCTTCACGAGGTAACACCGAGGCCAGCACAGCAGTAAGCTTCCCGTGTGCTCAGACCAATCTTCGTAATACGTCTTCATTCACAGTCACTTCTGAGCCACCCAGACATAGAAGCAAGTTACTCTGTGCCCTGAAAGACAGCAAAGGTCCCAGGACCTCAGGAGGTGGCAAGGAAGTGTCCTCTTGTCCTCCTGCCAGTGGGTAGGAGTACTCCAGCGGGGAATATTCCTGTGTGCCCCTGCTCAACTGCTGGACCAGATGCGGGTGACCAGATGTTTGTGAGCTTAGGGCTCACTCTTCTTCAAACCAGATACGTTCTTGTGAGAGCCAGCAGCAGCCCCACCCTTTTAGACTTTCTGCTTCTTTTCACCTTTTTTGCGCATTCTCAATCACTTACCCCCACAGGAAGCTTATCCTGTGTCCCAGTGTCTGGGAGATGGAGAACAAAGAGAGTGACTGGCGACATGTGACCTCCTGCCACTCTAGCGCACTGCATCTTGCACAGGAACCTTTTATTTTATTGTATCCTTTATTCTGCATTCTTTTATCGCTTTGTGTATTATTGCCCTCCTTCCTAAGTGTGGTGTCAGTAATCCAGGTCTTCTCTCCAGCCCCAGGGCCCTGTCTCCAGAAGTAAAAGCCGGGGTAAGGGCAGCTTTCTGATTGTGGAGTGAGGCTGAGCCTCCCAAAGTTACAACTGCCTCCCAGAAACCAGTTCATCAGCCATAAAGAGATACAGCTCCAATGCGCCTTCCATGATGTGGTGACTGGGGACAGGGTCAGTGAGCGGTGGGGCAGTGAGCGTTGGAAGAGGTGGGATTGGGTCTGTGCTTGAGACAGACTCGCTGTTCAAGAGAAAGAAGATTTTGAAAACGGCAAGGCCTCAGAATTAACCTAATCCAAGATGTGTCCCGAGTTACTGAGCTCCTACACTATTCCCTCCAGTATCAGCTGGCTAGTACTGCAGTAAACACTGCCGCAAAAGTAGGTGGCTGACAAGACAGACATTTATTTTGTCACCATTCTGCAGCCTAGAAGGCCAAGATCAAGGCATCAACAGGTTTAGTTTCCTCTGAGGCTTCTCTCTGTGGGTCACAGTGAGCCACCTTCTCATTACATCCTCACAAAATCATCCCCTATGTTCTTCATGTCCCAATTTGCTCTTATGAGGACATCAGTCATAGTGGATAAGGATTCATCCAGATGACTCATTTTACCTTCCTGTCCTCATTAAAGATGCTTTGTCCAAATGTGGTTACAGTCTGGGGTATTGTGGGTTATAACATACAAATTTGAGGGGGTGACATAATTCAGCCTGTAACACCTCCTTGTTACTGGCACCGTTCTCTGAAATTATTCTCACAGACGATTGTAGCACACTCATGTCCTCATTTATCATATGGATATTTGGTTTTAGAAGAAAAATACTATTGCTTTTTTATTCACTGTTTTCTCTTTTTAAAAGGTATTACTGTCAGTTACTTTAAACCTCCAGGTCATTTCTAATGAAAAACTGCAAGTTTTTGTAATAAGGATTGAGCAGATGTTCCTTTTCTTCTGCAGCTGCAGAAGGGCCAGATACCTTTCCATAAGATTAGCATTTGGAGCACTTGGGAGGCAAAGGCAGGAGGAATGCTGAGAGTTCATGGCCAGCCTGAGCTTACTTAGTAAATTCAAGGACAGCCTGAACTGCATAGCAAGACCCTGTCTCAAAAAACAAATGAGATTAGCAATTGGGCTTGAAGTGTAGCTTAGTGGTAGAGTACTTACCTAGCATGTACAAGGCTCTGGATTTGATCTCTAGCAGTGGAGAAAGAAAAATATATATATATATAAAAATATATATATATAATGTTATATTATGGTATGATTTTATATATATATATATATGCTAAATAAGCAGTTAAATTGGGAACTTTCACAAGAATTTCAGTCCAGTTATATGCAATGTGATGAGAAGAGAGTCAAATATCTCATTAATTTGTTCTATTCTCTACTAATGTGATTTTGTCCTTGGAAAGTTATTTTTAACAGAAAGGACTTGTTTTATTCCTAAAACTTTCAACCTTGTTGCCATGTCTTAGGAAAATAACTTCACTATCTGCTAGATAATTTCTTGTCCTTGAAATTCGCGTTCTCTGCCTTTCTAAAAACTATAATGTTACTTGTAGGATTTATCTGCTAGTTAATAATTTTCCTTTTCTTTCACATGTTGCATGAATATTTTTAATGACTTGGTCATATTATTGAACAAATTATTTCTCCCCTTTTTGGAGGCCACCAGACCAGCTGATTAAGTATGCATCGTCGAGGGAACCGCTGAGCTAAAGCCAGCCCTCTCCCCTTTTTGGAAACTCTTAAAATATGTCTTTTTCTTACATAAATAGCTTTTTCTTTAAAGAGCAGTTTTAGATTTGTAGAAAAATTGAGCAGAAAGTTCCTATATATTCCCTTTTCTCCTGACTTGCCTGGTTTAAAATAGGGAGCTCAGTGTGTAACTGTCTCCAGATTTCCCCCTCCTATATAGTGTCTACCCTTTTATTAGCACACAGAATAGGCTTACTGTCCTACAAATCTACCCTGCTCTGCTGAGCTACACCCCAGCCCTGAAATAATTTCTCTTAACATCATTGTGTGATGAGGGACTCTTCTCTAACCCTCTTTGGCCTTCATGGAAGTGAATTGCACTTGTTATGCTGCCTCTTTTCATTATTTGTGCATCTGTCACCTCCATCTGTGAGGTCCCCAGAGAGTCAGCTGCCTGCTTACTTGATTGGCTTCCTAAAGATGGCTCTAAAATCTTTTAGTTAGTTTGTTTGTTTGTTTGTTTAGAGGCAGAGACTCACTGTATAGTTCACAGTAGCCTTGAGTTCACTATGTAGCGCAGGCTGGCCTCAAACTCACAGTGATCCTCCTGCCTTGGCCTCGCAGGTGCTGGGATTATAGGCATGTGCCACCATGCCCAGCTAAAATCTTTTGTTCCGTAAGAATTGTTAACAACGCATTTCTTTAATTAATGTGCATCTGGGAGAGGGGAAAAGAGACAAAAATTGGCCATAATTTTTGCCATACATCTCTGGAGGATGTCTTCGGAAGAGAGCAGTAGCTCTGGCAGGCACGGCGGAGCTGCCATGGCCTCATGGCTGTGGGGAAGTTGGTGGCACTGTGACGTGCTGATCTATCAGTTGTTCAGTCATCCTGGAAAGAAGGCAAGAGGAGAGGATGTGAGGGAAGAGAAGGTTCCAGCTCATTTTGCCTTGGCTTTTCAGTGAAGAGCTGTTCAACAAAAGCAGAACCATCTCTTTTCTCCATTTTAGTTCCTGTTCCCAGCATGTCTCTCAAAGTACGAGGGGGAAATAACAACTCCTACTCTGGTTTCCCCTCTTCTCTCATCCCTTCCTCTCTTCTACAAGAAAGAAGGAAAACTGCAACATTTTTGGAAATTCTAGATAATTTGATGCTTTAGCACCACTTATAGATGATCACTTTGTCAGCCTTGTGATATGCAGCTCAAATCTAAACTTGCCTGTTTATGACCATGGCATTTAAATGGTGAGGTCCAGAAAAAGATGAAACTGGAACAGTTTAGAGACATGACAGTGATTTTTCTCTTAAGACACAAAATTGTAGAACTGGGGGAGCACACAACTACACACTTCCCAGGAAATGCATTTAATGGTGGAGCAGGCGGTAGGTACCACAAGCTAATCTTGGCCGAAAGCTTTTAGAAAGTCATATGGTACCCTGAATCCCAGCCATAGGCCCCATTCCTAGTTACACAAACTCAAATCATTTTCTATTGTTACTTGTATAATTCTGATCACACTTACTACTAACATTTTTAAAGTATATTAATTCTTAAGCAGACATTTTTTTGCCTAGGAAATAGAGAATACATCAGACATGTGCCATCCCCTTACACCTTTTTAAAGGAGAAAATGCCACCCTCACCACCTTCTCCAGACTTTCCTTTTTTTTTTTGAGACTGGGTCTCCCTGTGTAGTTTAGGCAGGCCTTGAACTCACTGTGGAACCCAGACTGGCCTCGAACTCACAGTGATCCTCCTGCCTCAGCTTCCTGAAAGCTGGGATTATAGGCGTGAACTGGTCTTTTATGCCGTCTCCAAACAGCTCCTTTCTCAGCTTTAAGAGCTGATCGCTGTCCTAGCTTTTATATTTATCCTTTGGGTTTGTTTGTTTTATGCCTATAAACAAACCATCCCATAGTTTTATTCATATAAACAGGCCTACAAAAGATGATCAAAAAGTATGGTGAGTACCTACATTATAAGACATTGCTAAGAATGATGGGATACTGTGGTCAAAGCGAGGGAGAGTAGTTTGGGTGCTATGAGATAAGTGGCAATGTGTCTATTGCTGCAACAATTTTTTAAATTTAAATTTTTGCTGTATTTTTCAGTCACTCCTTGTTTAGAGCAATTTCTGTCAGATGAAAACACTACAGCATTTTCTCATCCACATTATTTAGGAGATCTGGTACTACGCAACTTCTAGCTTTTCCTTAGTCAAGATGACCTTGAAAGCTAAAGGTTTTGAGTCATTTCAGGACAGTGAGGTAGATACAACGGCACAACCAAAGACACAAAACAGCACTTGCAGAACTACTTCAGAAAATATCAAGGCTAGAGTAATTGTGTTTGAAGCAAGAGGGGGTATTTTGAGGGAAATTAATGGCAATGTCTTTTACGGTAATAAAATTGTACTGTACACATTTATCACATCTCGTATTTTGTTCATATCTTTCTATAATTTTTTTGCTCAGCATTGAAATTTATCCATGTTATTGCATTTATCGAGAATCTATTTCAGCTGCTGAATAATATTGTTTTGTGTAGATACTATCAAAATGTCCTATTGAAAGGCATTTGGATGATTTACAGGTTTGCATTTTTTTTTTTCTTTGTTTTTCGTTGAGACAGGGTCTCATTATGTAGTTCAGGCTGGTCTTGAACACACTATGTGGCCCAGGCTGTTCTCAAACCACTGGGGCAGCCCTCTTGCCTCAGCCTCCCGAGTGCTGAGATTACAGGCGTGTGCCACCAAGCCTGTGTACATTGGATTTTTAGTGTTAAATTTGCCATCTTTCCCTTTATGGTTTTCACTTTTTGTGTCTTATTAAAGAACTTTTCCAGGTGCAGTGTGGGGAAGGCAGAAGCACCCGTGAGCTGGTGAGCCTCCAGGCATTGCTGCCACCATGCCGAAGAGAAAAGCAAAAGGAGACGCGAAAGGGGACAAAGCCAAGGTGAAGGACGAGCCGCAGAGGAGGTCTGCACGGTTGTCTGCTAAGCCTGCTACTCCTAAGCCAGAGCCCAAGCCTAAGAAGGCCCCTGCCAAAGGAGAGAAGCAGCGTCGAGGGAGAAAGGGGAAAGCGGGGGCCAAGGGCGGGGACAGCCCTACCAAGAACCCGGAGGGCGTGGCGGCGCGGTCGCAGAAGGCCGAAGGCGCTGGGGAAACTAAGTGAAGGCACATGCTGCACAGCCGTGTCCTGCTAGTGACTCAACAGCTAGAAATAATACTATCTTTAATCAAGTTTTACAAAAATGTAGAACTTTGATGTTTTTTAAGTTGTTAGCACACAGCACCCTCAGTTGTCCTTTGTGGAAAGGGGAAATACCACTACTAGATTGTGTCTGAGAAGCTGAATAGAAGTGTGAGGGGCTCGGACTTTATGTCCCGCAGTTTGAAGATTATTCTTGGTTCCCACGACAGAGTTTCTGTTGCTCGCTCACATGAGCCGCTTTGGCACAAAAGCCTTACAGTGCCAGGAAGACGCCTCGCGTCCCCTCCTCCCTCTGCCCTCAGCACAGACGTGACCGCATTAACCGAGAGCCTCACTGTGGCCTTGGCCTCCTCAGATCACCGCGTCAGCTCCCAATACTCAGGCTTCCTGGTGGTGACCCCGAGCCGGTGTCACCCATGGCTCAAGATTCCTGTTCTTTGCCTGTAGGCCATCCTGCAGAGAATCGTGCAGGTCTTGGCTCACTCCCCTCATGTCAGAGTTGGCCTCTGAAAAGCTCCCGTGTGCCTCCGGTGACACGTCCAACCCTGTGTGAACTTCTGTTCAGAGCTGCAGCAAAAGGCTTTGTTGACTTTTACAGTGACTTTGGGGGAGGGTAGTTTGGAAGTTGTAAAATGTTGCAGACTGCTGCCCACGTCTTACTGGAAGGAACTGTTTGTGAAAAATACCTTCTGAAGCTGGATACAAGTTGGCTGGAAGGGGAGATCACTCACTACCCAAAGCCTCAAGATACTCTTTACTGCCCTGAACTGATTTTTGTGAAAAGTATAAAGTAGAAATTTAACTTAATTTTTTTTCTGTCTGGATAAGTAGTAGTCCCCAGTGCCATTTGTGGAAAAATGCCTCTTTTCCCCATTGATCCCTAACACTGGCTCTTTCCTAAGTCCAGTTTCTGTGCAGCTGTGAGTCTGTTGGTATCTTCTATCAATCTGTCTAACATTGTGGCAGTACAATGCAATCCTAATTACTACAACTTCAGAAAATGGTCTTAATAAAAACCAAGATGCCTCTACATTTTATCCCGACATTGACCAATCCCACCTCTAATATCACCACCAGATTTGTCTTTCTTGAGACTGTCTTGTGGCTTTTTACTCATTTGCTCTCCCAGACAACATCTAGAATTAGATTGACAAGTTCTAAAATAAAATACACTGCAATTTTTATTGTATTTGTGTTAAATTTATAATTTGGTGAACCATATTTTATTTATTTATTTACTTATTTATTTATCTTTCTGAGACAGGGTCTTTCTTTTTTTTGTTGTTGTTTGTTTATTTTTTTCTGGTACTGGGAATTGAACTCACAACCTTGTGCTTGCCAGGCAGGCACTGTGCCACTGAGCTAAATCCCCAGCCCTAGACAGGGTCTTTCTATGCAGTTCAGGCTGGCCTTGAGCTTACTTGCACTCAGGCTGGTCTCAAACTCACAAAAATCCTCCTGCTTCAGCCTCCCGAGTGCTGGGATTACAGGTATGTGCCACCATACCTGGCTCCATATTACCTTTAAATGTTGTATCTTCCAGTCCATGAACATGGCAGCTCTCCATTTATTTAGGCCGTTTAAACACCTTCCAATAGTTTTACAACTTTCTTCATAAATGTCTTTATATTAATTAGTGTTATTCTTTAGGGCATGTTTTTAGTTGTCACATTTTTTTTTTTTTTTGGTTTTTCTCCGGTACCAGGAACCGAACTCACGACCTTGCACTTGCTAGTTGTCACATTTTCAAGTGTTAGTTAATGTTGATCTCAGGGTATCCAGCAGTCTTTCTAAACTCTCATTTCTCACATATGTATATTCTTGTGAGTTTCTACAGATAATCATATGCTCTGTGTATACAGTTTTTTTCTCAGTCCTTGTGACTTTTATTCCTCTCATTTTTTTAGACAGGGAATCAGTGTCCTCAAATTCATTATGTAGCCTCAAATTCATGGTTCTTCTGCCTAAAATTCCTTGTGGCACCTCGCCTGCTTTTATTTCTTTATAGTCCAGGTGATACAGATACAGTAGTAAACAACAGTGTCTGTGCTTGCTTCAGTTTTGTGTTGTAGGTTGGGGGGAAACAGAAAATGCGCATATTTATACAACAAGGGGCCTTAAGTAGTGTAGGTAGGTGCTATTTAGAGTGCTTTGGGGAAGTCTTTGATGAGATAACATTTGAGAAGAGCACTTCATGAAGTAAAAGAGGCTTGGCATGGTGCTCCATGCCGTAATTCCAGCAGGAGGTTCACTTCGGGTTCCAGGCCAGCCTGAACTACATAGTGAGACCCTGTCTCAAAAAAAAAAAAAAAAAAAGCAATCTGAGGGGGAAACTTTCCAGGAAAAAGGAATAGTAATAAGTGCTTGCTAGGCGTGGTAGTGCACACCTGTAATCCCAGCACTCGGGAGGCAGAAGTAGGAGGATCACTGCATTCGAGACCAGCCTGGGCTACAAAGTGAGTTCAAGTCCATCCTGAACTGCATAGTGAAACCCTGTCTTAAAAAAACAAAAACAAAACAAATCCCCAATAGAAACAAATGCAAAGGCGTGAAGTTGAAATGTGTGTGTTGAGGCAGAAGTGGCTGAACTACCCAGGACTGAGAAGGCTGAGGCAAGAGGGTCACTAAAAGTTTGAGGCCAGCTTGGGCTACATAGTGAGTTGAAGGCCACTCTGAACTAGATGGCAAGACTCTGTCTCAAAAAAAAAAAAAAAAACCACAAAAAACAAAACAAAAAAAAGTGGCTGAACAGGAGGGAGGGTGGCAAGAATAATGATTGATCTAACTACACTGAGCTGGAGGCTGGCAAGTGAGGGATTTTGGAGGCTGTAGTTTTTCTCTTTAACTAATGGGATGCCACTGGAGTTTTGAGCTGAGAAATGACAAAAATGTATGCGTGTTTGAGTGTATGGCTGCTGGCAAAAGTGAAAGGGGAAAGACCAGTTAGACAGTTGTGACAAAAGTGCAGCAAAACATACTGATTACTTGGACCTGGAAAGAGGCAATGAAGAGGGAGAGAAGAGGCGAGATGTGGGACATGAGCGCTGACAGGCTGGGGTGAAAGTATAAGCCTCTCTGCTATGGGCCCCACCCCCCATTTGTGTGTTGGAAATTTATTCCCTAATTCAACACTGTTGAGAGGTGGGGCTGAATGGGAAGTGTTTAGGTCAGCAGTGGTTTAGTGCAGCCGAGGGTGGAGGTGCTGTGCAGGAGTGAGTCACTCCCTTCTGCTCTTCTGCGCATGAAGAACAGCGCTTCTCTCCCTGGAGGATGCAGCACTGGAGACGCCATCTTGGAGCAGAGCCCAGAACCTCACCAGACAGCAAATGTGCAGGAGCCTGGATGTTAGACTTCTCAGCCTCTAGACCTTTGAGAAATACTTCCAGTAGTAAAGCAAGAAAACATCTTTACAACATTTCCTGAGGAATTAAAGATAGTATGAGGAAATAATTAGTATTACTATTTTCTAAGTTAGCAATTTTTGTTTTGTTTTTGAGACAGGGTCTTGTTATGTAGGTTGGGCTTGCTTCAAATTCATGGTGATCCTCCTGCCTCAGCCTCTCAAGTGCTGGACTCACAGGCATGCACCACCATATCGGCCAAGTTAACATCTTGATGCATAAATATCCCCTGGAAATTTGAAAAAACAGTTCATATTTACCAGAACTTAATCACCACTGCAAAGTTAAAGGGGGAAAAAATACAAAGATTTGATGAGCCTGCAAAACTGAGGGCCAGGCCATTCCATGTAAGGTCTTTACTAAAACCAGTAGTTTATATTCTTATGCTGGAATTATATACCTAACAGTATTTGCCTTTACAATAATGCTAGAAATTCTACTTTATTATCTTTTTGTTTATTATGTGTCTAGATGTCCTTCAAAGCATAGGTGGAGTTTTTCAGAGGTGGCTGGATCTAGAGTGCATGAATTGAGATTAAGTGTGTGATACTGGAATCAAGAGTGTGTGGTTACTAAATTAATTCACTGACTGGTTTAGCATAGCTTGAGAGTAGATAATGGGAAGGCCCTCCCTGGGTATGAGTGCTACCCGCCCAAAGGGCATGTAGCTGGATAGAATACAAGGGACAGAAAAAGGGCTGTTGGGGTCACTTGCTACTTCACTACTTCACTGCTTGCTGCCTTCTGCTTTGCTGCCCCTCTCCCCACCATGAACTATTTCTCCTCTGCAATGCCCCTCTGCCATTCCGTCCTGCCTTGGAGCCAGCCAACTATGAACTAAAACCTCTACAAACCATGAGCTACAATAAACCTTTCTCCTTTAACTTTGGGTGTTGGATATTTTGTCTCAGCAATGAGAAAAGTAAGTAAGACACTGCTCTTCAACTATTTCTGTTCCATTTTACTCCGTAAAAACAAATACCTGTGCTTTGTCAGGGTCAAAGAAACATTCTGTGTTCTCACAGAGTTCAAAGTCTGGGACAGAGATAAGTGACCAAGAAGTGGTGTGTGTCCTATTGTGACACTGCAGGAGCCCCAATGGTGACGTGATGATGAAGAAGCTTCCTGAAACATGCTGACACCTGAAGAGTGAAATGGAGGCTCATAGGAGTCGGTCAGGCAAGAGGAAAATCTTCTAGTGAGAGTGACAAGATTAGCATAGGTATCGTTGATGTTCAGTAAATTATTTGTTGAATCAGACACACAATTAAGATGCATACTGGCTAAGACCAGTTCCTGGACCTTTGCTGATCATGCTGTCCCAGGTGGTGCTTTCTGCTGCTGCCACAGCAGTACCTTGTCTGAAGAATGAAGCCCTCCTAGGACCAAGAGTATCACAGGCAACAAGGGTCTTTTACACAGGGAGCCAAGATTTGCTCCCCTACCACCTCTTCCTGAATATGGCGGCAAAGTTTGTCTTGGGCTGGCTCCTGAGTTCTTCCAGTTCCTTTATCCTAAAACTGGTGTAACAGGACCCTACATGCTTGGAACTGGGCTTATCTTGTATTTTCTGTCCAAAGAAATATATGGGATTACCCAGAGACCTCCTCTACCATATCTGTAGTAGGGCTTCTTATCCATGTAATTAAAAAATATAGTGCCTCTTTTGGAGAATATATTGATAAACTCAATGAACAAAAAATTGCCCAACTAGAACAGGCAACGCAAGTTTCCATGAAACAAATCCAGGATGCAACTGAATTGGAGAAGTCCCCTCAGGCACTTGTTCAGAAGCACCACTACTTTTGTTGTTCAGAGGAATAATACTGCTATGGTCTTGGAGGTTATTTACCAGAAACAGCTACACAGAGTGTATAAGGAAGTAAAAAAAAATCGCCTGGACTATTACATCTCTGGGCAGCATATTGATATAGGGGAAAGAAACTCCCAACCTGAAAGATATCTGGGACAAGTTAGTGTTCTCTAAAATTGAAGAATAAATTTTAGGAACAATGGAGGTTAAAAGCAGAATGTATTTATTGAAGAAAAGAAAGTTTCTGTCTAAGAGAGGGACAGAAGGGGGCCCAAGTGAGTTACCAAGGAACCTGGCTTTCCTAAGGATTTTATAGAGCAAAACCACGAGGTAGGGTGGGTCCAAGGTGAGGAAAAAATGGGAAATCGCAAGGTGGGCATGAAGTGGGCAAAAACTATGGTCAGTCAATAAGATTACAAGCATAATTGCTCAGGTACAATTGATTTTATCAGGATCAAATAGGGAAATCAGTCATTTAGCAAGCGGGCATGAATACAGAGCAAGGGCTTTTCCTGTAGGGGTGTGAGTTAGTGTCTCTTCCTGCCTTTCTCAAGGTGATACGGACCTACTTAGAACATCAATCCCTGATGTTTATCCTTAGGGAGGTATGTGGGTGTATTTGTGTTATCCTTTGTCTTGAGGTCTGGCCCACAGCTGGAGGTTTCTGTCTCCCTCATAGTTGCAAGGTATCTCATCTCCTGCACTGGCTCCTTCAAGGGCCTGGCCCTGTGTGACTCCCTATAATATATCTATCTGACTCAGCTGCCTCCAACAATATGACGCATCGAAAGGAACAGGTGCACATGATAAGCTGGGTGAAGAAGCAAGTGGTGTAGAACATCTCTGCACAACAGGAAAAGGAGCTAATTGCCAAGCTGTTTTGGTTACTCTTCTCTCTTTGCTGAGACAAAATACCCAACACCCAAAATTAAGGAAGGAAAGGTTTATTTAGCTTACAGTTTGTGGAGGTTTCAG